CCCCAAAACCCCAAAACCCCAAAACCCCAAAACCCCAAAACCCCGAGATATGATATTCAATTTAGATATTAGTTTATTCTGGATCAAACAATTTATAAAAGTTATATATGTAGCGAAAATAATAGCTAGTCATTGATTATTTATTGTAGCACAGATTTATTAGTTTATTTTAGAAAACCAGCAGCTATTCATTAATCCTGGTCAGCTACACCGTTGTTTGAACCCACAGAGCCGAGTAGATTCTAGCTTCTACTCTCAGCATTTCCTTGGTTTCTATGAGTATTTGGACTACCTCTATGTGAGTTAGAATCACTATGACTCAAAGCAGAGTTATAAATGCTATGATTGCCAGTAAAGCTATCATTCTATTACTACCTTACACCATTTGGAAGAGGCTGTTGATATTGTTGGTAGTGAGGAGGGTAAGCCATCATGTATACTGGCTGACTTTGCTGATGAGGATAAATTATTGGATTTTATGGAGGAGATTGGACCTATGAGTGCTACTTCGGTGCTGTTTTAAGAGGCTCATCTTCTTGCAATAATGAGCTTTCATTTGCATTTTGCTAGTTTTAACCTGGGTAGAAGAATTATGACTCTACTCCAATGATCATTGAAGAGTTATTCAAAGCCTATTTCTAAGCATTTTTGTTGTCATTTGGAAGTGGCTGTAGTTATTGCTAAGGATTTTGAATGATAGGAATCTAGTGTTGAGCATAGGTCTGATATTACTGAGGTATGTGCATATTAGGAGGTTGTTAATGCATGAATTATTGCTAGGGTGGAGGCACTCCGAACTAAGTCATTTGCTGATTGTACATTGCATAGGGTTACTAATTTGGCAAATAGCTTGAATGGTACTACTATTGGTATTGCAAAGATGCTGGATTTATGATTGTTATCATTGGCTATTCTCCGCCTTAAGATGGATATATTATGCCACCGTACTGTTAAAATGGCAAGTTTTACTGCTAATAGATTATCGGGCTATATTAGTGACCTCTAGGCTCATATAAGTATGGCTGCTAGTTCTATTGCTATTTATTTTACTGTTACTGTTGTGCGAAATCATTATTAGGCATTCTATTTGGCTGCTACTAGTTGTTTTGATAAGGTTTATTTCTATTCCAATTTTATTATTGACTTTAGTTCATTAGCAACTATGGCTATTCTGTGAATGACTGTTTGCTATTGCCTTCACTCTGATAGTTTTACTAATCATCAGAGGCAGATGAAGAATCTTAATCATTATCATAGTTTATCATACGTCTTCTGGTTTCCTCCAATAGATCATTTAGCTTCATCTCAATTATGTTTTACTGGTCGTCTGATTACTCAGAGTCAGTGTTGTTATTATTGCTTTGATTAGAGTTTTTAATGTGGTTGTATTCATCTTTCACTGCTTTACTTCTATCAGTATTGCTGTTTCCATAAAGGTAACTATCGATATTCGACTGTGATTCATTTTGAATAAAAGAAGACTCTTTATTGTTGTTCTATTACTGTTAGTACTATTTAGGTGAAGATTTAAGTTCATCAGTTCCAATTTCTATTTGAGATTCATTGTTCTTATTTTTGGTAGGTAGAGGTCTTTCATTGAGCTTTTTCATTTACATAAAGTTGCCTACTTTCTTTTCAGGAAAGAGTTTTCTTTCCTTCATCATTTTCTCAGGGGAGGGGTTCCAGTTTATAGATGGTTCCTAGATTGGCTAGAAGTTTAATTATTTAGGTCTCTCTAGGAATTCTCTTTCGCACTCAGTAATATCCTATTCAAGCTCTGAATGTGCTTCACTTCTGTTCTTCAGCCTAGACAGACCGATCTGCTTTGAATTGTTTTGACTTCCCTTTCCACTATTATTATTAGAATTAGTCCTAAGTTCTGGAGGAGAACCATGGAAGTAGTCATCAAGCATTGTCCTTGGTTTCTTACTTTCAATTACTATCTTTTAACCCTCAACTCTCTCCATTTGTTCTTTATTAGAATTTGGATTTTATGTACTAATTGGTTTTTTATCTCTAACTTCTTTTTCTATTTTGGAAACCGAATTGGCAGTCTAGTCAGCCTATGTCTGAGTTGGTTGTCTTCTATTCTTGGTCTTTGCTTGGATACCTTAGACTTAAGAAACAGCAGTTTAATTGCTTCTCTTAATTATAGAGAGGCTTTAAGAAGAATTCTGATTGCTATTGATACTGGAAGTACTTGTCACAATTACATTAAGATTAGTCTAAGATGGACTTGTAGTGTTGACCTTACTACTCTAAGGAGTAATTTAGTTAGACTTCTTGAGATTAGTAATCGATTGTTTATTTGGTGTACCTGCTTAAGCGATTTAAATTGAATTTGACTGAGTGTTTCCACTTCCGCTGCTTCCATTATGACCCAATGATAGATTATGAGCAGGGTTATTTTCATTTACCAAGCTAATGTCAGCTCTTTTGGTTGTTTTATCAGACTTAATGGCTACATTTTGAGATTTAAGGTTAGTTGAAGCCAATGGTGTTGAGATTGCCGATTAATTTTAGGATATTGAAGTTGCTTTGAAGTTATGTCCCAGTTGCAAATTTGATGTCGTCTTAGTATTGCTTGGCGGAAGCTATTAATTAGTCTATTGCTACTGCTATTAAGTTGAAGGTTGCTGCTACTACAATTGCTAAGATTGCTATGAAGATTACTAATTGGCTTATTGAATGAGTTGTAAGTTTTTGGTGGATCTTGAGGCCTAGCCATCTTTATTGGAGGTGAAAGCTTTCCTTAATTGTTCAACTTTATCTTTAGAGGATTGACTTAATCCTCCAGTCTCTTTTTTGCCTTAATTTGAGTGTGTTATTACTCTAGACTATGCCTTTTATTGGAGATTGTATTAGTAAGGGTCATTAGAACTGTTTAAATCTTGCTTTTCATGCTTTATTTCAACTCTCTAGACACTCTGAGCTTCATTTTTTTCCTTTTCTTGTGCTTGCTTAATAAATGAATTTCCAATAAATCCTGACAGATTCCCCAAACTCTAATCTTTGCCCTTATCTTTATCTTATTATTACGAAACTGTGCCAGCCTTGTCCTTTTCTCTTTCCTTCTCTTTTAACTGCTATTGCTAAACTTATTTCTTAAGCTAAGCAATTTATTGATGTACTGGCTGACTGTTTTCCTTAGCTTATGTCTGTTACAATATTGTCTATTTTTACTCTTACTGCTATGGTGCCGCTTTGTTTCCTACATTGTTTACAATCAGGTTAGGGCGTTCCCCAGAGGTAAGTGTATTAGTTCTTCGTCTGACTTAGCTGGGCTGAATCTATGAATTGCTCTAGTCCGGCTGCGTAACGGATTGAGTATTAGTATTCTAACTGCTATGAGTAACCACTGGGTGCTTTGACTTGTTGCCAGTTCTGTTTAATTCTGGCTTTTGACTAGTTGTTTTGACCTCCTCTTCCCTTTTGTTCAAAACCTTTATAGACTCTATGACTCTCTCAACTAAATCATCTTTTTGCCCAATTTATTATAAAGATAAAGACTGTACTGGATCCTTTGGCAGTTATTTATCTTTTGGAATGTTTCTGCCTAGTTCACTATTGGATTTAAAACTAATAATTTGAGTAGTAGATTGAGAAATTGCAGCTCCCTTCTTTTGATTGTTATTTGAAGGAGTTTTAGGGCCACTTTTTTCAATCTTTTATTATGTTATATTGTTCTAGTGTTATTCTTCATTCTTAACTGGATTGATTGACCTTAGCTGTAAATTCCTGGCTTCAGCAGCTGACCTCTCTTCGTTCAAATCAATTTTAAGAGTTTTGCATTCTTGCTTGGCTTTATCACTTTTATCTATAGCTTGCTATCTGTGATTGGACTAAAACGTCTGCTTGCCTGAAGGTTGTTGCTACATCTGTAAGTTCTTGATTTTTTCTGGTTGCTATGATGACGGGGATTGTAGAATTGATTCTCTTGGACTCTCATTGATCTAATCCAGAGTGTTTTTAAGTTCCACTCCCTACTTCATCCTCCCACTAAGATCCTTAGTCAGCTCGCCTCTTTTTTGAATGATTTAGGTTTGATAATTTTGGCTTATGCTTCCAATTGTCGAACTACTTTGCTCAAATATCTGCTTCGTGTTTATCCTTTACTAAGACTCATTCAGGCCAATTAGACTGAAGTCTTGGCTTTAATTCAGTCTCGAGATCTGCTCAAGTCTCATGCTGATATCGCTTTCTACAATTAGCTTTGACTGTGACTAGGACTGATGCTGAAATTAATTTGGTCCGGCCTGCGAATGGCCTTTGAAGTCCTGCCACTTCTTCTCGAATTCGTCGAGTTTCTCCAAGCTGCCCTTGAATTTACTTTCAAAGAGCTTAACTTCTTCCTTTGATTAGAACATTTCTCTCACGTTCGATCTCTGTCTAGACTAACTGCCATTTGAGCCCTGATTACTAGTCTCGTGTCTCCGGTTCAGCTGTCTTTAAAGCCTTTAGTCATGCAAGGTCTTGAAAGATTTTAAAGATCGAGTCTCAGAAAGAGATTGGTGATGCGTATGAGATTAATGGGGCATCATCATTTAATGGAAGGCTTATCTAGGTTATGGAGGTTGTTACTCCTGATTCAAGTTATTCTAGTCAGTGTCTAGCATATCCTCATGAGGTTAATTAGATGACTTATGTGACTATAGAATAGGATTTCCGCCTAGTTGCAATTTCTAGCCAGATCCCTCTATTCTTGACGACAGTATAATGCCTTACAACTTTTGATTTATATCGTTTTCAAATAGAAATTACTGTTTTTTATTCAGATGATCTATCTGGTTGTCGGTGATCCTGCTTAACTGTATAGTTGGCACTGGCTTGCTTGACTAGCTATTGTACTGTGAGGCTGATTGATACTTGCTTTCAGAATGAGAATTGAAGTTGGAGTTTTATCTAGCATTTTGGAGATCAATCTATCCAGTATTAGCTGCTAATTTATGATTATCGACTCTCATATTGATTTGATTAAATTAATTGAATTGAATTTTCCAAGTTATTACTTATTCAGACAAATGGGGTTTTGGGGTTTTGGGGTTTTGGGGTTTTGGGG